GGACTGCGGGGAAAGGACGGGGCTGGGCCTGACCCAATTCCTGGAATGGGGTGGGGCTGGACTGAGCTGAGACCCCAAAAACACAGGGATGGCATGAAGGGGCAGAGTGAGATGTCCAGTGGGAATGGCCTGACCTTAGACCCCAAAAATGCAGGGATGATGTGGAGGGGCAGAGAGGGATGTCCAGCAGGACTGGGCTGAGCTGTGACCCCAAAAACACAGGGATGGCATGGAGGGGCAGAGCGGGATGTCCAGTGGGAATGACCTGAGCTGAGACCCCAAAAATGCAGGAATTATGTGGAGGGACAAAGCAGGGTGTCCAGCAGGACTGGACTGAGCTGAGACCCCAAAAACACAGGGATGCCGTGGAGGGGCAGAGCGGGATGTCCAGTGGGAATGACCTGAGCTGAGACCCCAAAAATGCAGAGATGATGTGGAGGGGCAGAGCCAAGTGTCCAGCAGGACTGGACCAAACTGAGACCCCAAAAATGTGGGGACAATGTGGAGGGGCAGAGAGGGATGTCCAGACTGGACGGAGCTGAGACCCCAAAAATGCAGGGATGGCATGGAGGGGCAGAGCGGTATGGCCAGTGGGGCTGGACCGAGCTGAGACCCCAAAAATGCAGGAACAGTGTGGAGGGGCAGAGAGGGATGTCCAGCAGGACTGGACAGAGCTGAGACCCCAAAAATGCAGGGATGGCATAGAGCAGGATGTCCAGACTGGACTGAGCTGAAACCCCAAAACCTCAGGGATGGTATGAAGGGGCAGAGTGAGATGTCAGGTGGGAATGGCCTGACCGGAGACCCCAAAAATGCAGGAATTATGTGGAGGGGCAGAGTGAGATGTCCAGCAGGACTGGACTGAGCTGAGACCCCAAAAATGCAGGAACGGTGTGGAGGGGCAGAGCAGGATGGCAGGACTGGACCAAACTGAGAACTGATGTTATCAATCCTTATCAGCAGGTTGCCATGGCAACACGAGGGCATCACTCCCTCTGGTTGCCCCATCCCCTGGGGAGGTTGCCCAATTCTCCACCCCATGGGATCTGAGGGTCCCACTCATCCCCACTCTGTTGGGGAACCCCAAAAGTGTCCCAAACCCCTCATGGGGTCCTTCATTCCACTGGAGGGACCTGGCACCTCTCAAAGGGGTGAGGGATGGGGTTGGGTTTGGGGTTGGGGTCAGGGTCAGGGTTAGGGTTTGGGCTTAGGAGAAATGGAAAATGGAAAAAGGAATTTGGGATGGCTTGGGAAGGTCCAGCAGGGTCACTCTGAGTGACCAGAGCAGGACAGGGAGCTCCTGGTCAGACAGGCAGCTGCTCCTTGGAGAATCAGGGAATTCTGGAATTGTTTGGGGTGGGAAGGACCCCAAATCCCCCCTGCACCTCCCCCCACCCCAGAGTGCTCCATGCCCTGTCCAGTCCAGCCTTGGACACTCAAGGATGGGGAATCCCTGTCCCAGGAGCTCTCCAGGCCACAGCTGGACAGAGGCCAGACCAGGATGTTATCACTCCTCATCCTCAGGTTCCCATGGCAACAGGAGATCTGGGCTCCTTTTCCCCTTTTTGCCCAAAATTTTTGCATGAATCCTCCCCATGGAGCTGCTCCCACTTGTCCCCACCCCCGTGGGTGACCCCAAAACCATCCCAAACCCCACAAGAGACCCCCGGCACTGACCGGCTCGGTGTTGGAGGATGAGGAGGGCGAGGAGCAGGAACCAGAACCGATTCATCAGTGCAGAAGATTTGGAGGCACTGGGCGCCCCAAAATGCTCGCGGCAGAGAAGACGGAAACGTCGCGTGTCTTTTTATGGCTAGAACAGGAAGAGCAGAGTGATGATGTAAACAGTGGAAATTCGTCGTTGATGGCAGCTGCGCGTGACAAATGAAAATTCTTACCTGAGAACCGGCCCAAAGAGAAATCCTGGGAAAAAACCCGCGAGATGTTCCGAGGATCGGTGGACACCTCCCGCTGTCTCCGGTTGCTCCAATCCCGATGTCCAGCCTGGCCTCGGACACCTCCCAGGGATGTGGAATCCATGGAGTGACCCCTGCCTGGCCCCTCCCACAGGAGGATCTGCTTCCTCCCCAAAACCCCACTCAATCCCGCSCTCCTGTCCCTCCAGCCCTTGGAAATTCTCTCCTTCGGTTCTTCCCTCAACTCCTTCGGGTCCTGGAAGGTCACAGTGGGGTCACCCCAAATCTTCTCCTCTCCAGCTGGACACCTCCGATCTCCTCAGCCTTTTCTCCCAGCGGAGCTGCTCCGTCCCTCGGATCCCATCCCGGATCCTCCTCCGGCCTCACTCCGGGTCCTCCCAGTGCTGAACCCCCTCTCCA